GCAGTAAGATGCTACAGCGAATTAGCACGATGATACTGACAAGACTCCATTTTGAACCTCTGCCTTGTGTGTTTTTTCATGAGACTTCTGATTTCTTTGTTTCACATAATTTTCGGTGCTGAGCTCACTCTGTTTATGAATTGTGTTATCATTTCCTTCATTGCTATTGTTTCAGTATTTGATAAGTGTTTGTGCTTTTCTTCTTTTATATTTTTATCCAAACATTTAATTTTTTTTTTTTGAGATAACCCTGTGAATTATAATTTTTTTCCCCAAAGTTTAGAACAGTGTGTTCTATGTTGCAATTGTCTTGACATCCTCACCATTTAGAAGTTGCATAAATAAATTATTTTCCTCTTTTTGGATTATAGTTGTCCTCATTTACCAATTAATGCCCCTGTTTTTAGTCTTGTAACTTTATTTTACTTTGGTTACTTCTATACCTGTGTTGTTTTTTTGGGTTATTTCATCCTGTGTATCAATCATCAATTGTTTGCTGTTGTTGACTCTCTGTCCAAAGTATTCCCTTTAACATCTTTTGTATGGTTAGTCTCATTTTAACAAATGCCCTTAATTTCTGCTTATCCGGAAATGTCCTAATTTAACCATCATATTTAAGGGACAGTTTTGCTTGGTCTATAATTCTTGGTTGGAAATTTTTTTTGCTTTCAGGGTTTTAAATACATTGTTCCATGGACTTCTCACCTGCATGGCTTCTGCTGAGAAATCGGAGCTTAGTCTTATTGGTTGCCCTTTGGAGGCAACTTCATTTTTCCCATGCTGCTTTCAGGATTCTTTCTTTGTCTTTGATTTTGGTGAGTTTCATTATGATGCATCTTGGTTATTTTCTTTCAGGGTATGTCCTTTTTGGAGTTAATTGAACTTCTTGAATGTATATATTCTTGTCTTTCATCATATTAAGGAAATTCTGTCCCAACAAATCTTCAACAATTTTCTTTGTGGTTTTATTTGTCTCTTCCTATTCTGGAATTCTGATTACATGTAAATTATTCCTCTTGATAGTATCCCACATGAATCAGGCTTTCTACTTTTTTTTAATATGTTTTTCCTGATTGATCACTTAACAAAGTAGTATTGAGATATTTGTCTTCAATCTCACTAATTTTGTCTTCCATTGATTCAATTCTACTCCTTTGCTTGTTCAATGTATTAACTATTTCTGAAATTTTAGTATTAATCTTCTGGACTTCTATGTCTAGATTTTGTAAGGTTTGTATTTATTTATTTATTTTGTCAGTTTTTTCTTGTATTGTTCTTCCAAAATTGTTTTAGAGTTTTGTCTGTGTTTACCTTAATTTTCTCAGTGTTTTCCTTGATTTGTCTCTCAATCCATTGAAAATACCTAAATATAATTTTTTTGAATTCCTTATCAGGGAGTTCCAATGCTGTTTCCTCCTCAGAAAAATTTTCTGGGTCTATATCCCAGCCCCTTGTTTCTATTACTTTATCTTGTTTCTTTGTGTGTACTGTTATGGTCTTTTGTCTTTGAGACATTGTGATGTTGTTTTAGTCATATCTAGTTGGTGATTGCACGTTGATGTGATTGGCCCAAGATTTTTATTTATTTATTTGTTTTTGATATATCTGAGTAAGCAGAGTACTGTGCTCCTCTGTTTGCTAGTTGGCAGCACTTAGAACAGTGGCAACTCACCACCTTTGTCCTGGTAGGTGTGATAGAGAATGAGAATGTGTATACAGATCTCTGTTAGCTGTTCATGAAGAGCAGTTAAGAGTGAGTTGGACTGGTATTAGCCATAGTCTATAGTTGGTCAGTTGGTGCAGAAGCAAGGGATGACCCTCATTCAGTAGGTGGCACTGCAGGAGGTGCTGGTATGATTGGCTTGTATGGGTGCAGTTGCTGTCTCCCACTCAGACAATAAAATAAAATGAAATCAATTGGAAAAAAAAATTACAGAAACAGGAGCTATTACAAAAACAAAAAAGGAATGGCAATTAATGAAGAGATGAATTTTAAGACATACTTTTAAAAGATAAAAGAAATATAAAGAGAAAAAGAGAAAAAAAAATCCACAATATCTATTGAGGGAGGAATAAGAGAAAAGAGAAGAGTAGAAGAATAATAAACAAAAAATGAGAAAACTGCAAATAGAGAAACAAGGATGGAAAGAACCAAAAGAAAGAAAAAAGATGAGAACAAGAAAAAAGGAAGGGAAAAAAATAAAGAATCAGCAAAGGGAAAGAGAAATATAAAAGAAGAAGAAAGAAGAAGGAAGAAGAAGGAAGAAGGAGAAGGAAAAGGAGAAGGAATAATTTAAAAATAAACAAACAAAAAACAAACTGGGAGCTAGGGCAGGGCACCCTGGCTCTGTCAGGGCACACAGACTTGGATGGAATTCCCACCCATCTAGAAGATGTGTAGATTTGGGGGATGGCCACACCTCCATTCACCAAGAGGGTGTAGGGTATAAGAGTATCAAGGGGAATAGCATACCTTTCCAGTCATCAGCCTCCAGTGCAGTCACCCATGCTGTCCTCTGCCAGCAAAGCCTATTCTTATGTTTCTGGGATCAGAATGCCACTTGTGAATATTCAAAATGGCCATGCCACTGACAAATATTCAAAATGGCTGCACCCTCAGGAGAGTGGGAAATCCATAGCTCAGTTTGTCCCCTTATTTGTTGTTTTCCTTTCCAGTAAGGAGCTCTGATGGTGTAGTGCCTAAGGCATTTGACTGCTAACCAGAAGGCTGGTTGTTCAAACTGACCAGCCACTCTTTGGAAGGAAGATGGGGCAATCTACTTCTGTAGTGATACCGCCTCAGAAACCCAAGGAGGGGTCGCTATGGGTTGGCTCTGAGTAGATGGCAGTGAGTCTCTGTATGGTCAGTCTCCTTTCTAGTAGTCAGCCACCAGTGCACTTGTCCATGCAGTCCTTGGAGAACAGAGCCAATTCTTACATTGTAGTCTAAATCCTAACTCCACTTGTAAATATTCAAACTGGCAGTCTCATCAGGAAAGCCACAACTCTGTTTGTCTCCTTATTCACTGTTTTCATTCAAATTCTTATACTAGTTGGGATTTAGGGCTCCAGGATTATCTTCTATATATGTTTCAATTGGTTTTTCATTTCTTTGTTGAAGAAAGTCTATGTAGCTTGTCTGCCTAGTCCACCATCTTGCCAGAAGTCTCTAGTAGTTGATTTTCCAGTGTGAGTTTTTCAGCTACATTTGTACATCTATATTTTCCTTTAGCTGTTCCTAAGCTACCAGTTCATTCATCTGTTCTACAGAACTCTGATCTTATTTATCTTTCTTTCTTTCTTTCTTTTTTTTTTCTCTTTTAATCCTAGCTCATTTTCTTCCATCAGTACATTGCTTAGGAGTCAACTATCTTGAAAAATATACAAAACACCACCATCATCCACCACCACTACTATTGCTGATGCAACTACTAGTGCTACAATGAATACTGTTGATCCTGATTTCTTTCCTAGATCCTCTCCCATTTTTGTTCTCTTTATCATAGATTATAGTTCAGGTGGTTGTGTCTATGGCCATTAGGACATATTATTACCATTTTTTCACTATCAGTTCTTTCCTCATCCTCTTATCCCCTCATGGCAGTCCAGTTGATTATTGAACTTTCAGTTGTTAAAATAATATTTGTTGTAATTACAATATTTGTTGTAATTAACTCTGAACCCTGAAACTTTCTCTCATTGGTCATAATAATGCTTTCTGGAACCACAGAGAATATCTAGTTCACATTACCATGTAAAGGCTTTCAGATAGTTGTTGAACAAAACCATACTTTCCCTGAAAGTCTACTTTTCCCCATAGTAAAAGTCCCTAGATCTTCAGTAATTCTTCACTAATATAATTTTGAGTTATTATATAATCTTGCAACTTTCTTGATGTGCAGTTAATAATCCTCATATTCTTATTCAAATTGGTACTAATCTATGATTATTTTTTTTAATAGAGGAATAATCTGAAAATTGTAACTTACTCTGCTCTGCTGGATTTATTTAATTTTATCAGTGACCATTTACATGTAACAGACAGAGAAATAATACCAAGTATATTATGACCAAAGTTATTTCTTTGTTTTAAGCATTATATTTCTATTGATACTGCCTAGATTACATTCAATTTTATATATTATTTTACTTTTGGTGCATAGCTCAAAGAAAGTCTGAAATTATTTAGCAAATATGCTACTCTATATTTTTATCCCACATTGTGTAGTTGGTTTTTTTAACCTAGGTGCAGGATATTCCACTTATTCTATTTAATTTTTAGTATATTAGATTTAATCCATGATCCCAGCCTGCAGTGAAAATTTTATTTCACATTAGCTAAAGAATATTATTAATAATATTATTTAGATACCTGCATTTGCATCCTATATGTATTTCTCTTCAAATCACTGAAGAAAATGTTGAAGAAGATATTATGTCCCACTTTCAAAGATTGCTTACACTCACTGTTTTATCATGTTTTGGAGTTAACTCCTTTGGAAGTATACTCCATTGACCCAATATTCTGTGGTGTGGGGTTAGGTACTATAACCTTGGAGTGTGTCAGAGGAACTTCTTCCAGGGTGCCTCTCCTGGTAACATTTCAATATGCACCTAGTTGGTCCCTGACACGTCCTCAGGTACCATTTTCTTTTATGCCTCTCATCTGCTCTGTATTGACCTCACATTTTTGGAAGACTGTAACTATGCTGTGTTTCAACCTTTGGTGTCCAGGACTTCCATGAGACCATTTCTCACCTGATAGAAAAAAATGCATGAAGAGATGAAAATCAGATTGAATGTGAGTAAATAAGTGGGTTAATGAATATAAGAAATGTGACCTATTTGGGGGCACTATATAAACAAAGAATTAAACAAATCTCCTGATTCCTAGGTTCTCTTTCTTAAAGATAGTCCCTTCTAATGAAGGCAAGTGAAACCTATTTAAACAAAATTGTATTATGGCATTGTATAACTTCCACCATGTTTATACTCGGTAGGTACATACTGCCAGCAGCGAGAAGTGGAAGCAATCATGGAAGGTGACGAGGATGATGGAGGCTGCTGCTGCTGTAAGCCTGGCCACTTGCCCCATCTGTTATCCTGCAATGCTGCATTTAACCTCCGTTGGCTCACATGGGAAATCACACGGACACAGTACATTCTGGAAGGCTACAATATCATAGACAACAATGCGGCCACCTTGCTGCAGGTCTTTGATCTCCGAAGAATCCTCATCCGGTTCTACATTAAGGTACTGCTTGGGAATCACAAACACTTGTCTCAGTAATGATATGCGCTAGCAGAAGAAGTTCCTGCAAAGCTTTGTAAAAATAACAAATTTTGGGTCCTCCTCAGCTTCTGAATAAGTTGCACTACTAAGTTTGGGAATCACTACTTTATCAACCAATCCTAGAGGGCCTTGATTTAGCCTGTGGTTTGTGTCCCTGAGGCATATGCTAAGCCTAGTACAAATAGGCAGTCAAGTTTCTCATCTAGGTCTGTTTCCTCACATCTGCTACACAGGTTGCTTTTAATAATGGTGGTGAAAAATTTTAACATCCTAGAAATATTTCCAAACCTCAGTATTTATGAGTTATAAATGTGAATTGAGATGCTTTATAAATTGTCCATTTTTAAACCAGATTTATTTTTCAATCTCATCTGAGGCAATATTACTATAGAAGCAGACTGCCCAATCTTCCTTCCAAGGAGTGCCTGGTGTGTTTGAACCACCACCCTTCTGGTTAGCAGTCAAATGCCTCAGACACTATGCCACCAGAGCTCTTTGAATTACTTCCAAACTGCAGTGTTTATGAGTTATAAATGTGAATTGAAATGCTTTATAAATTGGCCAGGAGCTCTGGTAGCATACTGACTAAGGCACTTGATTGCTAACCAGAAGGCTGGAAGTTCAAACCCACCAGCCACTCCTTGGAAGGAAGATGAGGCAATCTACTTCTGTAGTGATACTGCCTCAGAAATGCAAGGATGGGTGGCTATGAGTCGGGTCTGACTCGAAGGCAAATAACAACAGCAACAATGACACAAATTTTCATCTTTAAACCAGAGTTGTTTTTCAATTTCATGTTAACTTGAAAATATAGTAAAGCCCCATTCTTACCAGGGTTGGAAAGTTCCATTTCTAAGCATAAACAGAAGGTATTGCAAATCCTTTCCCCTCACTCATGTGGGAAATAATGGATTATTGTTTCAGTCACTTAGTACCTGTGACTGCCCCAACCTATATTCAGCATCAAGGAGATGTGCCAGTTTGGAGTCAGCCTCCTGGAAAACAGATGTGAAACTTGACCAGTGAGGCAGGGTGTAACAGAGCAAAGGTGTTTCTGAAGGGAAAGGTACAGGTGAAGGTCATTGTGACTGAGGAAGATTTTGCAGTGGCTTCTGCATTCTATGGGTGTACTGTGAATAGGTAGAAGGCCTGGACAGTTCATAGAAGGGCCACACTTAATGCTACTCAAAAAGAGGAGGCACATCCATAGGAGCCCTATAAATACTGCCAGCTGTGGGATGAGATAAGTGATCCAGACAAAAAAGGAGAAAACACAGAAGTGAAAAGATAGCATGGGAACCTGGAGACTCAAGAATTTCAGCCAGCTAAAAAACAGGACATGTAGAAGTTTAGAATATCTACTTAGGAGACCCCAATGTCTGCAGCAAAGCTGCTAAAGTTACTGGAAATAGAAGGCAGTGTTATGACAGTCAGAAGGCAAAGAACTATTAATTATCATATGCCTATGTGACTGCAAGGAGCTCTGGTGGTGCTGTGCTTAAACGTTAGGCTGCTAACCAAAAGATCAGTGGTTTGAACCCACCGACTGCTCCGTGGGAGAAAGAGGAGGCAGTCTGCTTCTGTAAAGATTTACAGCCTTGGGAACCATATGGGACACTTTTACCCTGTCTGTTGTGTAATGCCTAAGCTGGCAGTTCAAATCCACCAGCCACTCCATGAAAGGAAGACTGGGCAATCTACTTCTGTAAAGATTTACCACTTCAGAAATCCAAACGGGGTCACTGTGGATTGAAATTGACTCAACGGCAGTGAGTTTTTTTTGGTTTATAGGGTTTCAGTGAGTTAGGATTAACTTGATGGCAGTGGGTTTTCTCTGGTGGTTTTGGTATGTGACTGCAATACAAATATTCAAAACAGGTTTATAGTTCATACTCAAAATCTTCATTTGTCCTCGAGGGACACATATCTGTACTCCAATTTCACATAAAGCTATAAATTATTTGCAAAGCAAATCAGGGAAGTTGTGACCTCTTCACTAATAACTCCCTCTTCTGTTCTGTAGGCCATGAAGTTTTCCATAACAGGAAAATTGGTATATCAATCAGTATTAGATTTGATGGTGAGTCACAAAATAGCAGTGGTGTACACAAGAGAGCTTATTTCATTTTCACAGAAATGAAGGCTGATATGATAGCTCTGCCCCATGAAGTCCTCAGGGACCCTGTTTCCTTCCAGCTCTCAGCTTTACCACTTAAGAGTGTCTTGTTCCAAACTCAAAATCATTGGAGGAAAAAAAAAGGGGGGACCAGGTTTGCTGGTCCGATAGAGCCAGATGGAACCACTGAAACTATGGCCCCTAGCTACCCTTCGGGTCTGGAATCGAACCCACACCTGTGGTTTCCAGCCAAACAAAAGACAGGCATATGAGTTGAACATTTACCTCAAGTAGATACACTCCTTGGAGAGA